CTATTGCACTTCCCTACACTTTCCAAGAACTGGATTCCAGTTGAGGCTATTAGTTACACACTACCAAGGAAATAATAATCTGAAACTGCTTTTTCTAGTACATACCTGTGTGTTCATACTTATGTCTCAATAATGAGCTGCTCTTCTGGAATATTTTGTCACATAAATCACATGCATACATCCCATTTTCTGTCTTTCTCATCTTTTTCTTTGGGGGTGTTGAATCAGAATCATTTTGATCTTCTACATTCGATACTCCTTCTGAGCTAGTGTCTTGCCTTTCATCCTTAAGAAAAATTACAAAAAAGGTTGAGTTCAATAAAAAATGCACTGATGCAGCGCACAATTTATAGAATATAAGCTGAAGCTCCAGTGTTATTTTCATTCCATTCTGTAAACAGCCAAACAAAATTGTTCGGACTTACAGAGTCAAAAAAATCTTCCACTGCATTGCTCTGCTTTGCAGTCCCTTTCACCATACAGATGCAGAATTCTCACTGGGACTGACTTTAATCACATCCACATTTGACTGCTGGCCAGGTCTAAGCTACACTGACACATCATGTTTTAGGGTCCATAAAATAAATGCAATGTTAGGAAGCAAAAGAAGATTACAGACCTATAAAATACCTCAATAAGTTGGGAGAGCAAATTCGGTATCTAACTGCATTTTTCAACTAAGGTTTGTCACCCACATTTTGCTACCTTGTGGATTTTATGGAAGTTAAGACTGTAATTTTTGATGAAATTTTCACAAAAAGCTATTTAAGTTATCATTTGAATTTGCATATTGACTACCCTCTTCCTCATAAAACTACCACAAATCCTACTTAACCCCAATTTGGGGATTTCAAGTGTTTAATTAATAAAAAGGTTTTTAAAATCCTAACTGTAGGCTATTTCAAGTGAAGCTCACCTGTAAGAAGCACAGTATTTTCTACTGATATCAGCAGTATCGCTACAGAATTAATTTTACCATATATTATCAAATCTGAATATAAAAATGTATGTATTAACTACCTCAAATGTTGTCTGTCTCATAAATTTCAACATATAAGCAACTGTCCTGGTTTCGGCTGGGATAGAGTTAATTTTCTTCCTAGTAGCAGGCACAGTGCTGTGTTTTGGATTTAGTAGGAGAAGAATGTTGATAACACGCTGATGTTTTTAGTTGTTGCTAAGTACTGCTTATGCTAGTCAAGGACTTTTCAGCTTCCCATGCCTTGCCAGACACACAAGGAACTGGGAGGGGGCAGAGCCAGAATAGTTGACCCAAACTGACCAAAGGGCTATTCCATACCATATGACGTCATGCTCAGTATAGAAACTGGGGGGGTTTGGCTGGGGAGGAGCGATCGCTGCTCAGGAACTGTCTGGGTATCGGTCGGCGGGTGGTGAGCAATTGCATTGTGCATCACTTGCTTTGTATATTATTATTTTATTGTTACTATTATCATTACTATTTTACTTTATTTCAATTATTAAACTGTTCTTATCTCAACCCAGGAGTGTTTCTCACTCTTACTCCTCCAATTCTCTCCCCCATCCCACCGGGGTAGGGGGAGTGAGTGAGCGGCTGTGTGGTGCTTAGCTGCTGGCTGGGGCTAAACCACGACAGCAACCTTGTAACTCTGCAAGGCTCCTCAGTTTCTGGCTACAGAGAAGCCTGCCTAAAATGCTGAACAGCCAAATTTCTAAGATTTAATTAGAAATACTCAGTCTTTATGCAAGCCACTTGTCTGTTCTGCTCTGTCCCTACCTCAACATGCACAGGTGTTTCTCAGCACGACTGATTCTGACTAGACCACATCTGAACGTACCCAGGGAGGAACAGGGCAGGATACAGGAATGGCAGATGAAAATAAATACCTGCCTGAATTTCAATTGAGAATACATCTGAATTTTGTTTAAAGTGCCATTATGGTGTAGGATGAATTCAGCTACTCTGCAAGCCAAGAAAGCAGAGCAGCGTGAAGGGAGTAGCCAGAAGTTCTAAACAGTTTATTTTCTGGATACAGGGAAAAAGGAGATATGGAGCCAGCAAGAAATGCAAGCCATGGCCTTACTTTGCTTTTCGATCAGGAGAATTAAACTGTCTTTAAAATACTGAGCACTATCGTCCTAGAAGACACTTCTGAATGACTGAACATAGTGAAGAACTGACTTGGCCATCCACAGAACTATATAGTTTCTGTCAGTCTGGATTCAAGCTGCCTGAGCTAGCTAGCTTTGCAGAGGACTTGACATCTATTACCCATTAACAATCAAGCTGAATAAACCCGATAGCTTATATTTACATTTTATTTAATTTATCCTGGCAGCTTTCTGTTAGTTCAGCATGGATACAGAATGAATACGTCATACACAACACACAAAAATACAGGGACTGAAGTACCTGATTTCCATTGGCTTGGGTGTGTTTTGGTGGTGTTTCTTGAACTGCAGGACTAACTGTAGTAGAGTATGTATAAGCCACCTGTGGAATCAAAATGGTTTGCTTATTGGCAGCGAGAGCTCTCAAGCATGGAACACTGTTCTGGTCAGCAATGGCAACAATTGTAGGTAACTGGGCAGTGACTGTAGGTATAGCAATATTTATGGGATTGGCACTTGGTGGGATTACATTTACAATAGGATCAGAGTCTGTAACACTGTTGTCCTTTTGTGATTCTTTTTTTGCACAAGTTAAGTTCAAAGGTTCTTCTTGGACAGAATAAACACTGTTCTGGTAAACACTAGTTATGGTAGATCTTTCCAATAGTTCTCCATGTTGCTTTGGTAGCGAAAGGTCAAGAGGTTCAATTTGTGGCTCTTCTTGTACACCCTCTGCTGTGTACGTATAACCCTGTGAATTTCTTGATGAAGAAAGGTTTAGTGGCGATGGGGATGGCGTGCTACTGCGTGAACCATCCAGAGTTGATCCCCCTGGTAAAGTCTGAGATTTTGTTGTATTGACAGGATTTTGTGAATTATTTGTGCTGTTCTGGGGTTCGCTCACATTTGTAGTTGCTGCTTGATCATCATTATCTGCAGGACTGCTTAATTTAACTTGTTCAGGAGAAGATGGTCCAGAAGACTGCACAGAAATTTGTCCAGCTTGCATTTTTTCAAACCACTTTTTTACCACATCCAGTGGTAGGTTTACGGAATCAGCTATTTTTGAAAGCTCTTCTGCGCTCGGTTGTGCATTTAATGCATAATATGCTTTTAGGAGCGATAAAAGATTCTTTAAAGGTGGCTGACCAGGAGATAAGTTGTTCTCCCCAGTTTCTGATGGGACAGGGGAGTCGGGCTTCTCAGCTTCTGTTCCACTGGGCTGAGGAAGCTGAGGAGGATTTTTTGTTTCATAGTGCTTTAATTCTTGAAGTGCATTAAGATCTCCTGGACAGTCATCACAAAGAAGACAAGTGCTATCATTGGTCTCTCCTTCAAAGTTCTTATCTTTCTCAGACTTCACCGTAAGATCTTCCGGTAATTTTTCATTTTTGCAACTATTTGTAGGAACAGAGTTTTCTTTTTTTAGATTTTGTGGAACAACCTGAAGCTGACTTGGCTGTTCCAAGCTGTAGTTGATGATAATTTTGGTTGTCCCATCTTGGTCAACCAAAGGAAGACTGATAGCTGAAATGAGGGAATGGCCAGCCTGTTGTATAGATGCATTGCTGATTGTTTCTTGTTCTTTGGATGCAAGATTAGCATGATTGTTTTCCAATACTTGCCTTATTACATTACCATCCACTGCCACTTTAAGTACATTTTGAATGTCACTTAAGTTGATGCTTATGGGAGACACCAGACCTACTGTTGGTAGAACAACAGCTTGCACCACACCCTGAGGAGAACTGGTTGCCTGCAATGGGCTACCACCACTGAAAACCCCATTCTGCAAAGGGGTCGAACAATTAATTCCTGAAGCAACCACTATAGGCTTGAATTCATAATCCACAGGTTCAGTTTTAATTTGGTTAACAGGAAGTTGCTCTTGCAAGGGTTTATTTTCTATCTTTTGTCGTATCTGTGGTCTTGCTGGGCTACCTGGTGATGCAGAAAGGGAAGGGGAGGAGCACTGAGACGTCTTGAGCCCTGACCGGGCTCGACCATTCACGGGCATCAAACCAATACACTTCTTACTGCTTATGTGTGAACTGTATGAACCAGAATGGGAAAAACGTTTCTTGCAGTTTGGGCACTCATATGGCTTCTCTCCTAAAGATAAAAAAAAAGAAGAAAAAAGGCATATACAACAGTTTACCAGGTTACAGTGTAACTGCATCAAGCAATAGTAACTAGGAAAGAATACATCGAAATGACCTCACAAAGAGTCCTAGGGGAAAAAATCTTACACAGTGAATTGAACAGTAAGAGTAATTATGTCATCTATACATCCTTTAATAAGTTTGTGATCCACTAGTAGGTATAGGATGGAGCCACACGATCACGATACGTTCCAGTATTTCCCAGTAACTGTCTACATATCACATAAATGAGTCTATATGATACTTGCAGATTTCATTAAAGTCTATTCAAGTAGTACCACTACTAACTTGAGAGGCCACATAAACTACTTCAGAATGGAAAAAATTAGAAGATGATTAACCAAAGAAAAAATAAAAATGCCATAAATGCATGTCATCATTATATAAGGAGCTATGTACATTTTATTGAGGCAAACTCAAATACAATATATCCATATATTCCTACAATACTCATCAGCTGAATAAAAACAGGCAAAGTTTAAGTAAAGGGAAACGAGACACATGCAGAAGACAGATGTATGTTTGCCTTCAGAGATGAACATCAGGTTAAATTGCCAGGAAGATGCACACAACTATGCAGTTGTTACACTCACAGCCAGAGCTGGCTTTTCAGGGGATCTGTGCTACAGAGGAAAAGCAAAGAGATGAAATAGCTGGCTGGCTTCAGACTGAAAAGTACATTGACTGAGGCTTTCTCACTCACAGGTGCAGTCCCACTACCCTCTGGAAGTAAAATTATGTTTTCTGAGGGAGGACTTCTAAGTGAGGTGCTCTTAATTGCTGTTATCATGGCTGAACAACCGATAAGAAAAGGAAAGATGGCCTAAAACCTTCTTTTCAGACTTCTGTCAATGGGTAAATTTGAGTTAAAGAGAGAAATTGAGAATCTCTTTTGAGTGACCACATTTTACTTATTATAATATATTAATATATAAT